AAAAAAAAAAAAAAAAACATGCGTTTAAGACAGTAACCACCTATGAAACAGCCCACAGAGGGGAGGCACATCTGCAGACATCCAAACCTCCAAATGCACCAGTGTTGCCTAGCAAGGTGGTCGTGGTCTCTAGAGAAAAGGGGTGACGTGCCAACCACAACCCAGGTGATCTAGCCAACGTAGCCCCCCAGCCGTGGGACAAACTTCTGGTATTTGTTTTCTGGACTGATGCTACATGAAAACCTCACTTTTACGGTGCTTTTATCTTGTTTCCAAACATGTAGAGTAAGATGTTTTAAAACATTGTCATGAAAAGTCCCACACCATCTCTAAGGTGTAGAAGCTTTGGGGGATTAAACAGGACTAACATGGCCTGAGACCAAACGCGGTGAGCAGATTCAGTGTAAGAACACAACGGGTCATTCTGTGAACAGTGAAGGAAGTCTGAAGACACGCTGTACATTAGCAAACAGTGTCATTCGCAGGGCTGGAGAGACGGCTTGTCACCGACACCGACAATCTGTTCATCCTCGGGACCCACGTGGTGGGAGGAGAGATCTGACTCCCATACGTTGTCCTCAGACCTCCGTACATGGCACACATTGCACATACTCACACAATGACACCCATAAATAAATCAACACGTACTAAGAAAATGGTGTTATTCCAAAGCTAATTCTCAGGGGTGGATGATGGTGTGCATACGTCTGAGACCAACTGCTCTGAGGTCTCAGGGTGTCTGTAACTTACTTCCTTATGGTTCAGTCCCCAAAGATGCCCAGCTCTTCAGATGCCAATCAAAAGCCCCAGGGTGGGGCTGTAGAGATGGTGCATTTGCTAAGAGCACTTGCTGCTTTTGCAGAGAACAGGGGTTCAGTCGTCAGCAAGTGCATAGCAGCTCACATCTGTAACTCCAGTTCCAAGGGAGCTGACACCCTTTTATAGCCTCTGTAGGGACCAGACATATATGTAGTGGTGCATATACATATATGCACGCAATATATACACACAAAAAGAAGCTGGGCGGTGGTGGCGCATGCCTTTAATCCCAGCACTCGGGAGGCAGAGCCAGGCGGATCTCTGTGAGTTCGAGGCCAACCTGGGCTACCAAGTGAGCTCCAGGAAAGGCGCAA